AGATGCCGCCTGGGCTGCAGCAGCAAACTGCTGCTGTGCGGTGGCAAGCAACTGCATCATGGGTGTGGTCGGTTCCTTCCGTCTGATGGCACCGGCATTTTGCAGGTGTTCCAGCAGGTGCGGACAGGTGACTTTGTTCTGGTGCAGGTCCACGTCGCCCACGGTGACCACCTTCAGGGGGTTGATGTAGGACTGCGACTCAGTAGAAAGGCCCTTTAGGCGCGCGATTTGTAGTTGCAGGCGTACCCACTAAATACGCAGAGAAAATGGGAAATCAATAGAAGAATAAATGCGTGCCTCAGGCTATTTTTGTAAAGAAGAAGAAGAAAACGCGATCTATGGAACGGTAATTTTCACATGCCATAGCTCCAGGGACGAGTGCAGGGGGACACACTATAAGATGGTGTGAGTATGGACCAATCAAAAGTGCCACCCCCTCCCACCCCCATTTACGCGAAGCCAACGCTTGCTGCTCACTCGTTTTCTCTGACGATGGCTTCTCGTATGGAGCCGAAAGCTCAGAAGAATAAAATTGCCGTTCCAGAGATCGCGTCTTCTTCTTTAAAACGGGAAATATAGAGTCAGGGTAGAGAGGACGCCTGGTACATGCAAACCTGTCCGTCGATTCCTCTGACTTAGGGAATATATGAGTCGTGATAACAGTGGGTTATAGGATCCACCAAGGAAACCAAACCCCAGGGCCTGTTTTAACACCTACTGAAGGCGAGTGAGGGCAGATAGTGCGGTAGTACCCGCACAAAGTCTACTGTCACTGAACACTAAGTTAGGCTGTGTTTTCTGGCTTACATTGGAGAAAGCGGCAAACGCCGGATCCAATCTGGTCTTATTGACCCTGGTGAAGGTGAAGAGTGCGGTCGGCGCTAACTAAGTATGCTATCACTTTAAGCTACCCTCTATAGCCAGTCAAAATCACTATACCAGCGTGTTGGCGCGTATGGTGGACTTCATCGAAATCGATAGTCGAACAGTCATCTAAAGCCGTAGGAACTGGGGGTTGTCTGAGATACGAGTGCTATGACCTGATCCGATTCCGTTGGGAGCCGACGTGTCTGCAGCGCAACCACGCTCATCGCAAATTGCCAGATACAGTAAGCAAACAATTAACAGTAGGACTAAATCGTCGTGCCGCACAGTGGAAAAAGTCTCCCTAATCCAGATGTCTGACAGAATTCGAGATTAAAGGTTTAATGCTCGATTATTTACCAGTTAATGCGTGAGATATGCGCAGTAGGAAATAAGATAAATACGCTTGTAATTTAATATTGAGCTAAAAATGTATGTTAAAAGTTTGAAAAAAGAACAAAAAACCGAGGAACACTCCTATTGGCTAGCAAAGGAAGCCTTTAGACCAATACAACTATAAGAGCAACTCCTATTGGTTAAAAAGCAAGCCTATAGACTACGAACACTACTAGAGCAACCCTTCTTACGATTAGCCAGCCCTGCGATTTACTCCTACCCCATTAACTCACTTACTAGTTCCCAACTGCCAGCAACTAGTAAATAATCTGGTTAGACAACTTCTGGTTGTCCAAACCCAAGCTATCTGACGATTTTTAATGTTTTCAGTGTCTTAGCTATGGATACGGAGGCATTCAAGCAAGTGAGATAAATAAGTCATCTAGAGACGAAAGGCTGGTTTAGTGTCTCCTTGCCTATGTGTTTTCTCCCAAGTATAGGTTTCGTTCTCAAGCAAAGGCAAACATCGTCAGTCAAGTTCCACGAAAACACCCCCAAGGCGTACAACAACAACAACAACCTACCCGCCAAACAATGAAAACTCCAAATATTCCAAGGCACCTGCGGCGCCTAGGAGCCTGTTTGACCGATAAATAACTTCGCTTCTGCGAACGCGTTCGGCCAGAAAATTTTCGCTCGGTATCCACCGCGGTAGGTGTTGCTGGCGCTTCGTTGCTGGTATTTTCTCCGTAAAAGAAAATGTCCAGGTTGGAGTTGGAGGCTGAAACCTCTCTTTGCTCCTCACCTTCCTCGTCCACTTGCGTTGGTGGCGGCGGCTTGGGCAGAACCAGACTAGGATCAAAGAGGATCTTGTCTTCGTGTTTCAGAGCTCGCAGAAGGCGATTGAAGCACTCTGCTTCGGCCTCTTCTGGCTCCGTCTGACTGCCCGACTTTCCTGACCACGTACTGGGATAGTCTTCAGTCTCGAACTGGGAGCTGCTCCAGCCTTCCATGTCACTGGGAGAGATGGATCCGGACCGGCAGGAGTCGGTTTCACCATCGCTCCCGTAGTCTGAGTCATCCAGGGCTCTGAGTAGGGTTTTTTCGGCTATGCTGTCGAGCAGGCTCCTCTGCTTATTCAGACGATGTCGAAGAAACTGGAAGCCTTTGATGCGTCTGCTGGTATTATTGAGGCTGATATTCGCTGTTGTCCAAGTATTGCTGATGAATGTGACCAGGACGTCCCTTCGGGTTCTGTTGATGTGCGCGTCAATTGTTTGCAGTACAGCATCCAGACTGAGTAATCCCGTGATTGTGCGTACAGGTGGTTCAAACACGGTTTCTTCTAGCGGGGAAAAAAACGATGTGGTAAGGACTCCTTCTAAACAACGCCGTAGGCAGAACTAACTGCTTACTTCGCTGTAGTTTATTATCCCGTTTTAGTGTTTTTTTAAATTTATCAGTTTATTATTTAGTTTCATTACTTTCAGTTTAGTTTAGTTTAGTTTTCAGTTTATAATTTACAGTACGGCTCCGCATTCGTGCAACATGCCAACATTTGCGAAGGATTGATACTCACTCGCTAATCGGCATTGACTAAGGTTGTAATACTGATTATCAAGTAGCCTAAATCTCAAGTAATATTATTCACCATAAGATGTCGGCCTTTTAATGAGCTTCTTTCTGACTGCTAAGAAAAAAGTATATACTGTGAAAAATGGCCACTTATGTAGTATGCATTTTTATCACTGATTTTGACTGCCTTTATAAATTCAAATTTATTTTATGGAATTAAAGTAATAAAAGTTATTTCTGGTACTCGTGTGGCAGCGAACTACGCCTGCTTTGAATACTTAAAGAAATGGTATCTTTCGGTTTTAAAAGAGTTTCTAAACTCCTGAATAATTTTGAAACCAACTAACTGCTATACTAGAATTCAAGGTTTACAAACTGCGCACTCTGTACATACAATTTTATGAAAGGTACGTTTTCGCCTACAGTTCGAGGAAAAATTCGCATACTTCTCACTAAATGCTGATGAGTTTTATTACGATTGTGAGGTGTTCATTCCTAATTCACCGTATCCGTCATTTTATTAATGCCGTCTAAAATGTATACAGCACGATCCATATCTATTGCATAGTTTTATGAGAACTATGTGACTTCTTCCTCGAACCGTAGGAGAAAATGTACTTTTCCTTAAACAGGATGTACACAGTGCGCAGTTTATAAACCTTGAATTCGAGTGTAGAAGTCAGTGGGTTTAAAAAGTATTCGGCAATTTAGAAGCTTTTTTAAAACCAAAAGTTACTCTTTCTTTATGTAAAATATCTAACGAAGGTGTAATTTACCACCAAAGGAGTAAAGAAACAACTTTTCGTGTACTCATTCCATAAAATATATTTGAATTTATGAGTGCAGTCAAAATCAGTGATAAAAATGCAAACTACCTAAGTAGCCATTTTTGCGGTCAGAAAGAAGCTCCTTGAAAAGCTGGCATCCTATCATGACTGAAATGACTTGAGATTTAGGCTGCACGATAATCACTATTACAACCTTAGTCAATGCTAATTAGCGAGTGAGTATCAATCTTTCGAAAATGTCGGTATGTTGCATATTTCGGGGCCGTACGGTAGTTTTATTAGTTTTAATTTAGCTTATTTTATTCCTTAGTTCTGTTTTAGTTTTATTAATTTATAAGTTAGTTTTTATTTTCCTTCCCCCCCC